ATTGCCTCGGAAGGAGCGCGAAGTTACGGCCCTCGCCACAATCATCAACCCTTCAACCCATCTCTCCCACCCGTCCTCCCACCATCGACATTCTCTCCATCAAGTTCGCAACGTCATTGCCACCAAACGCCTCCCACCAACTCCTCCCAACAGCCAGGCCAGCCCCCGTCTCCGACGTCCCCTACAAGCTCGAGCTCGACTTCCACATCCGCTACACCGCCACTCTCCACCTCGTCGACATCCACCTCGCCATCCTCCCGCACCGCATCCCAGCACAGAGCCTCTTTCATCAGGTCCCCTCAACCAGCCAGATCTACAGTCCTTCTCTCTCAACCAGCTCGCGCCCCTCTGCTACCGCGACCTCGCCCTCCACCCCTCCGTCCGCGCCCTCGGCCGCCGGACCCTGGAACGCCTAACCCACCACATCCTCCTCTTCTGCGAGCGCCGCCTCACCCCCGTCCTCGCCGCGCTCACCGGCGCGGGCCCCGTGATCTTGCAGCCGATCCCGCTGGTCACGAACGACGTGGCCGACGAGGAGGAGGGGCTGGGCCACAGTTTCGTGCCCGGCAGGGGGATGCCGCGGGATCGTGTCACGGGGGTATCTACAGCCCGTCATACCCTGTGCAGGGGACGGCTCGCTGGACATGGAGTTTTTCGAGCGCGTGTTTCGGGGGATCAGAGCGGATGGGACGATGAGCCGATTTCAGCCCGCTTGGCATGCAGGTATGGATCCGGATCATTCTTCATGAGCATCGCAGGGTAGTTCCGGGGGCGGTGCTAAGTGAATTAGCCGTTACGTGAGAACATGTCGAGAGCCATCGACCACCTGCCAACATGGTAGTGAAAGGCGAGTATTCCTCTCGCCACGGTTCCTGGCACGGGGGGCCCGGGCAGCGAACTAGTCATGACGGTACGCAAATCAAGCTTTCACATGTCAGGACGAGCGTGAGGAAATCGTGAGAAGGAGCTTGGCCCTGGATTCTATCTATCATACCGCCCAGCCCCGTGCGGGAACACCCATGATATGAACACAGCTAAACACCGTAGGAAAAGCTTCAAACAAGATAAGAACGACCTGTTCAAGCCATGCAAGGCCCTTTTTTTTCATCGTACAAACGAAGACACTGCGTCCCCCCCTCTATTAGACACGTCATATTCGTACCGCCGCAACGCGTATAGCAAGCTTCTCACTGCTCCTCCTCATCGACATCTACGAGACGGCCCGAGTCCCACTTCTTCTTCGCCGCCTTGATGAGGAGGTCCAACTCGCCGCTCATGTCACACATGCTGCGGAAGCTGCCCTTCTCCTTGCGGATCAGCTCGTAGGGGTGTCCGTACTCCACGACGGAACCCTTGTCGAGAACAAGGACCTTGTCATAGTCGACAATGGTCTGCAGGCGATGCGCAATGGTGATAATAGTACTCGTCAATTCGCGGATCGTCTCTTGAATCTTGGAGTCTGTTGCGTAGTCGATGGATGCAGTCGCCTCGTCCATGACCAGCACCGTGGGGTTCTTAAGAATAGCCCGTGCCAGGCAGAGCAGTTGCCTCTGACCTTGCGAGAGGTTGGATCCAGACTCGCTGACTGGAGAAGAGAGATCGAGGAAGATGTTCTTGTTGGTCGGTGCAATTGATGCGGCGGGGCTACGAACAGGGGCGCCGTCGCTCGAGATGGAAATGGTCGGTGTTCCGGGGTTCAGAGACGAGGCTGCGGGCGTCTGCGGCCTGGTCAAGGACTCGCTGGGGCCGATGAGCTGCACCTTACGCAGAGCCTCAAAGATCTGCTCGTCGGCGTACGTGTCGAAGGGGTCAAGATTGGTGCGAATGGTACCCTGGAAGAGAGTCGGGTCCTGGGGCACGATGGTGATGGCCTCGCGAAGATCACGAAGGCCAATGAGACCAATATCGACATCGTCAATAAGAATCTTACCCGCGTCCGCCTCGAGCGCACGGAAAATGGCCAGAGCCAGCGAACTCTTGCCGGCGCCAGTACGGCCGACGATGCCGACCTTTTCCTTGGGGTTGATCTTGAAGCTGAGGTTGCGCAACACGGGGTCGAGTTCCTTGCGGTAAGCCGTCGTGTACCCGATGAACTCGATGGAGCCCTGGCTGGGCCAGTTGGCGGCGGGTCGATTCTTCTCGATGATGGGTTCCGCTTCTTGTTCGACGTCGAGATACTCCTTGATTCGCTCGACAGAGTTCATGTTCTGTTCGTTCAGAGCGTACAGTCGGACGAGCCACAGAACGTTCTCCGTGAAGCCAATGGCATAGCTGAGCGAGATACCAGCCGCACCAGGATCAATCTTGCCCAGGCTGAGAATGACAAAGACTCCCGCAAAGAAAGACACAAGATCGCCGAGGAGATCGGTGCGGAACGACAGCCAACGGTTGCAGGCCCACATGTAAATGAAAGGTCGCGACTGAGTGTTAATCTTGGTAAGGTTCTCCCGAATGAAGCGGCGCTCGTCGCCATAGGCACGGATCGTAGTCATGCCAGAAAGGGTCTCGCTGAACTGCTGGAAGAGAGGGCTCCGCTGGACCGCTTCCAGTCTCTTCAAATCGCGAGAGGCCCGGAGATAGAACGAGCCAACGAGCCAGTAGGCAATGGTGATGAATACACCGGCAATGAGGAAACCGGGCGTGATGAAAGCAATGAGCGCGACAGTGACCACGATACCCAGAGCGCACCCAATGACGCCAATAGCGATGGGGGCGACTTCCTGGTCGACAGCCTCGAGGTCCTTGCTGAAACGGTTCATGAGCTGGCCGAGAGGGGTCACATCGAAGAACTTGAACTTGGCCCTCGACACGGCTTCCATGAGCGACGTGTGGATCTTCTTGGATGCCGTAAGAGAACCATAGAAGATCCAAATATCACGAATGAAGGCAGTCAAGGCGCCGAGAATGCCAATGACCGCGAGACCGGTGAGGTAGTATGCCACATTGACACCATGAGATGCCTCAATGCCGAAGGTCGTGGCGTTGCCGACAAAGCCATAGTGTGCAATGTGTGCAAAGTAGGTCGGCGACAGGCTCTGTTGGCTGTAGCTGTGGGACGCGGTGGAGAAGTCGATACGATCGACTTCTTCGACAACATATTGATTGGCCCACTCTCGGACCCAAACGTTCGTGGCGACGCCTGAGACTTGCTGAAGACTGAACACAACGCCGGCGACGATCCAGAACCACCAGGGGCCCATCGAGCCAAGGTAGAGCTTAATGATGGGCCACTTGACAGCTCCGACGGCCTTGTTCTCGTCCATGGCGTCCTTCTGCTCCTTCTTCTTCGTAGGGTCTTTGGCAGGCGCACCATTTCCGTTCTCATCCCCGGGATTCACGACCGTCTCGGCGCTGTCTTCTCCGACGCTGGAGGGGACGCGGGACGGGATACGGGATGCGCAAGCAGTACCGGGGCGGGATCGCTGGACATCCTCGCCGAGCTTTCCGGCTTCGATGAGCTCACCGGCAGGGCCTTGGACTGCCACTCTTCCATTCTCAGGACGACGACGAAGTAGCAGAGGGCGCGCAGACTGGATGTGTGAGTGACGAGATGCACGTCCGGTGAGCATGAGCGGGCGTGGCGTTGTTGAAGATCCTCTGTGCGGTATGAGAAGTCGACGGCGCTCAGACAGTCGTCGAGCAGAAGATGGCGGGAGTTCGAGTAGAGGGTACGCGCCAGTGAGATGCGCTGTTTTCTGGCCGCCGGAAAAGAGTGATGCCCTTCTCTCCGACAAGGGTTTCGTCGCCGTTGTCGAGAATCTCGAGGTCGCGTTCCAGAGCACAGGCAACAATGACATTTTTGTACCTCTCTTCGTCGAGATCGGCCGAGAAAAGAATGTTCTCTTTGATATTGGCATTGACCAACCAAGCGGACTGTGCAACATAGGCGATCGTATCGGCCAGTCCAGTCTCAGGATCAGGGCGGACGTCCTCTCGGCTGCGACCACCGGGACAGTATACCTTGCCGTCGACCAAGGTCATCTCACCAAGAAGAGCCATGAGCATGGAAGTTTTGCCAGATCCTGTCGGGCCGGCAATGATGTTGAGATGGCCAATCTTGAAGTCCACGTTCAGGTCGAGCAGGCGGAAGGCCATCGATCCATCTTGAGCAATGGTATCCTTGCCACCCCAAATGAAGGTGGCATCCCTGAACCCGATGGTCTCTTTGCCATTTTCGTCCAGATTGTCAACGCCGAGCTGTTCATATTTCTCCGTCTCCTCTTCCATCAGGAACTCCTCGACACGGTCAAGAGATACCTTTGTCTCTTGCACGTGGGCGAACATGTCGCCGAACTGGTCGAGGGGCACACGGAGGAGCATAAAGAGCGAAATGGCAGTGAAGGCGACTGAGGGGTAGAGAGGCTTCTTCTCGACAGCAGTGTAGATAAGGAAGGAGAAGAACGTGATGAGAACAGGGACCGAGTTCCAAACGGCAACAGCGCATGACCAGATGACGAAGCGCGACCGCAGGGCCTGGAGCTCCGCAGCTCGCTTCTCATCGACGATCCTTCCGAATCGCTGCTCCCATGCGAAATACTTGATGATGCGAATGTTGTTGAGAATCTCGTTCGTCACGTTGATACGCTTGTCCGTAGCCTTGAGGATTTGCTTGGAAGTGTTGGTGAATCCGCGAGCAAAGCCATAGTTGACGGGGAGCAGCAACGCCATGACAACGAGTCCAGGAATGGCGCTCAGGCCCATCACCTGCCAAAGCAGAACAACTGAGATGACAAGCTGGGTCGGAGCGGAGGCGCAGAGGAAGTGGAGGTAGGCGGTAATCTCAGCAATCTTGAAGCTGTCGACCGACATGAGGTTGATGATGGTTCCAAGGTTTGCCTGTTCGTCGTCCGTCTTGGCCTCCTTCGGCGCACCAGCGGCGGACGCCTCGGCATCGGAGGCTGAGTCTTGCGACTTCTTCTTCTTGAGGCGCAGCTTTCGCTTAATCTTGTCCATGGTGCCCTCCTTGCCAGCATCGGCTTGATCCTTCTTCTCGCCAAGGACCTTCTCCGCGCCGGCCGCGGCCTTGCGCCGCAGCGCTTTGGCATAAATTTCACCGACGATGATGGCGCGGATACGAATGCAAATCTTTCGACCGATCCAAAGGGCCATTCCATCACCGAAGGAGCGAACAAGGTCGAGAATGGGCAGGAGAAGCACGTAAAGCCACAGCACGTTGACCGGCGCCTCGTCGGGTCTTTCGACATATTCGAGGATAGCCTTGAGCAGCAGTGTCGGAGCAAATGTGAAGACACCTCCAATGAAGGCAAGGAAGCACTGAAAAATGAGCTCGCCCTTGAAGTACTTGAGCAGGTGCATGGCCAGCGAGGTGGTCCTCTTGAGAGTTCGGTAGTCGGCAAGGACGGCGGCAGCCTTCTCCTGGGGAACAAGGTTCCAGACGGCCTTCATCTCGATGGTCTCCTTGTACCCACGCCAGATCATGGGGTCGATCCAGGAGAAGGTGGCGAGCGACAGCAGGGAGGCCAGGGGCTCGCGCGAGGGCTCAACGCCGTCTTCCCACTCGAGCAAGACAGTTTTGTTGCCCTTTCTCGTGCTAATGGCCATGACGAAGAGGAATGTCGTCAGGGCAAACTCAACAACGACGAGGATTTGGATCAGGCGACTGCTCGGATGGATCAAGACGGAGCGGAAAATGAATGTGGTGAACAGCCACTGGCAGCCGTAGATGGAAGCGGTGTGGTTCCACAGGGTCGCGGGGACTCGCCATTGAGTGCTGGTGAGGGTGAGGCGGAGCGTGGCAATGGCAAAGACGTAGAGCCACGCCACGAGACCAGCAACGGCAGACAGCTTTCCCTTCTCGCCGTAACCGCCAGTGACGATAGCAGTGATGTAGATGGCAACGAGTCCCACGATGGCAGCCTCTTCGACGAATACCGACAATTTCTGGGCATGGGGGCTGTCGGCCTGGACAATCGAGATGACGGAGCCGCGCGTTGTCGTCTTGACGAGCGAGAGACGACCGCCGCCGTTGCGGTTCATGGTCAGAGGCTCGTCATTGTCGTCGCTGTCGTCGAGCTCGTCGGGTGGGAGATCGGTGTGATTCGCGGCCGTGTTGGCATGGTCATCGGCGGCGTTTGCGAGAGGTTCGTAGCCGCGCTTTCGAAGAGAAGTAGGGACACTGCGCCCAGCCGTACGGAAAGAGGAGAATGAGAAACGAGACAGCTATCGTGATTAATGGAAATAGTGCTTTGAGAAAACTGTGGGCGGTCTTTGTTTAGCCATTGACTTCCCGTATTTGCTGCTCTCCATGACGGGCCAAGCCGAGTTTGAGGGCAGCGCGCGCAGGCAGGGGAGGGACATACTCTTGCTGGAAGCAGAGGGAGAAATCATCAACCTGCCATATCGGCCAGCCGCACTGCGCGAAGCCCATGATCCGCTGCTATGTACGTTCGGTGACGGTGTCCGCGTCTGCGACGTGCCGGGGTGGGTAGCCTCGGTTCCGGGCAGTGTGCGCTCAACCCAACACCAGGAGGGCGGGGAAGGAGAATAGGCGGCGCGCAGACAGATTGTGCTGTGTTGATGATCGATGGTGACTTGGTGGGGAGGATCCGGTCGTGGGGACTGGTCGAGGACGGTCGAGGACGGTCGCCAATGGCCACAATCGTCAATGGTGATGGGCCGTCGCCGTTTGGTGAGTGGGCAAAAAAGAAGCAACAGACACGCAAGGCCACTCGAAATCCGAATGTGGACAGCCTGGGAGGCAAAAGATGTAGGTTGCCAGGTGGAGTCGCGACTCGCGAGACTGTCGGGCCAGGGAATACTTTTGGAATTAGTCGTGGGCTCGTGACAGGGAAGAGGCGGTCACGTCAGGGCCGCTATCTGTATTTCGATTGTCTTAGTGTGGCAGGAGGACTGGGCCTTGTTCTCGGGGCCCTGTCTGTGGACGATTTTTCCTTTCGCGAGGGAGAGAAGGGTACGAAGGAAGAGACAGAGACAGACGCGAGGAGACTGAGCACAGAGGCGGAGGCGGAGGCAGATGCAGAGAAAGAGATCCAGATGATCGGGACTGCGAGGGCACCAGCACGTATGAGCAACGGAGCTGGCTATGGATGGAGCTCTTGAGTTCCACAGGACTGGCGAACGCGGCGCCGGGCATGGGGGAGGGCCGTAGCAGGGCAGGTGCAGCTGGTGGAGCTTCATGACAGTAGGAAGCAGCAACCGACACCTGGAGAACTTGAAGCAGGCACGATCACCCCACTTGGACACCCTCGCCACTCCACCGTGCAATCCGCTCCTCCACAGCGTTTTACCCCACTGAAGAATTTCTTCGGCCCACGGTTTCCCCTCCGTCTGCCAAGTGCCCTCCGTCTGCGAAGGGCATCCGTCTGCAAAGGCCATCCGTCTGCAAAGGCCATCCGTCTGTTAAGGTGCTTACACACACACACACACACGGGTTGCCGCCGTCTGTGAGCGAGGTTGCTTCGCAGCATCGCCAGACTCTATTATCCATGTCCACAGCGTCGATCAAGCCAGACCGCCATTGGGCTTTGCGGTCAGTCTTCTTCAGTGAAGAAGCTTTTTCCAGCACTGCCTGCTCCTCTGCCCGGCCCTGCTTTCCTGGCCTCCCAACGTCGACCCCTTGCCCTGGCTCGTCCCGGCTAGCACCTCACGCCTGCCACCCTGAGGTCCCAGGGCATCATTTCCCACCTCCCTCTGCGCGTCTAGTCACACCGCACGTGGG